CGCGGACCCTCACTTGCTCCGCTAGTTCATGTTTTATGAACGATCCATTAAAGATACCACGGTTCCAATATAGCAGTTTTGTTAAGATGATGTCGGAGCAGAATGTAACGATACACTTTTTTGGTATTCGCACTACTTTGTTTTTTTCATCCCTCCAAATATTGCCCTAAAATTGACATTTTTCAGCACACATATGTTTTTAATGACAAGCGCTAGGGCAATGAAATTAGCTACAGATGTAGTGCTTATAATTGGTAATATGCAGAAAAAATTTAATGTTGTGTAAAATGTTTTTGTTTAGATATTTCATATCAAACTTAGCACTTTTTTGTGCTTCGAGTCATGGTACTTCAAATGCCGCTCAGGAAATAATTAAACTATGATAAAATCGTTTATAATATTTAGAGCTACAATGGTTGCCCAAGAGGTGGACGATGGCTTTTTTTCATTTTCAAAGTCATAACGCTCCAGGAGCTCTTCAAACTTGCCTGTTTTTGACGCATATCTTTTTTGGACATCAAACAGATTTATTGGCATCTAATAACATTTATTGTTTGGAATAGATATACATTGCGATGTATTAAAGTTTCACAATGATCTTGCTTTGGTTTCTTAATAGGTGTAGAGCTTAGCTAATTTTAAAAACAATTAAAAACTGTTTGGGTGTTTTGTTGCGCTACCTGGCGGATGGCAGACAAACTGCTGATTTCTAGTGTTCAAAAACTTTCCGAGGGCGGCGTTGGCGTCTGTATCATCATCAATCTCCGTGTCTTTTTACCTTCACATTTAAAAAATATATTGGAAGATTTACTATCGATAAATGAATGGTTTAAGTACTGGGTCAGGTTAATAAATCTAAGACAAATAATTACACACGCGTAGCGTGATATAATGTGTTCATTATCCGATATGATCGAAATCAATAAACGATAAAGACGAAGAGAAAAATAATACACCCGAGTTCGCTTTATGCCTAGAGTCACTAAATGAGCTTTAAAGTATCGGCACTTCGTTCCCCAAAATTGTTTTGGGCGCCGCCATTTTGGGTCTTGTTCAGAGCAAACGCAACTGCCGATCGTCGTGATCCAAAAGTACGACTCCCTCAGCATTAGATGCGGTGCTAGGAAGCTGATGCAATATTGCAATGCTCTGTCGCGGGTTGTGCAAACATTTGTGGGGGACGGAAAAGCGTTTCCTGTGATCTAAGATAAAGCTTCAGGTAACTGGCAACCATGATTTTAAGCCACAATATGGCCAAGTGTCGTTACTCTGAACCGTAGATAATTTACTGGCACCAGCGGGAACAATGAGGAAAAGGCAGGTGTCAAAAGGTGGTGGCTTGTGGAAGCCACGGGGCTTACGTCATGGCCCCTCCAGGTATTACAAGCTTCTTGAACAAGAGCATGAATAGTGCCATTAAATAAGCTACGCGTCAGAGTAGCGACACTTGGCCGTATTGTGGCTTAAAATCATGGTTGCCAGTTATTTGAAGCTTAATCTGATATCAAAAGAAACACTTTTCCGTCCTCCACTTTAAACGGTGTGCGACAAAGCAAAGCAACATTACATGAGCTTCCTAACACCGAATCTAATGCTGAGGATGTCGCACTTTTGAATCATGACGATCGGCAGTTGCGCCTGCGCTGCACAAGCACCAGGATGGCGGCGCTTACAACACTGTCGGAGAAGAGAGTGCCGATCAGGGTGTCGAACCGGAACCGAACCGAACCAAAAACCGGAACAGAACCGCTATTTTTAGCCGAACCGGAATTGAACCGAACCGAAATCTTCGCCGCCATCTTGAAACTGAACCGGAACCGAACCGAAAAAAAATATAACGGTAACCGGTTCAAAACGGTTCACGGTAATATTTCTTTTCTGTTTTCTTTTTTGTTAGTATCACAAAATGAACGTATGGGAATAAAGAATTGGCGGCTGCAGTATTTCTATCTATGGATCAAATCGTCATATACAGATTTGAAAAGTATGCTAAGTTGTGGGTTTTCGTGAAGTCATGGTGTCAATACATGTTGTCACGTGACCTCGTGACGTCACGTGACTCACTGCGTCGACTCGATTTAATTTGAGGAATTCACTAGATGTATTACCATTGTTGACAGCATGACGTAACATGACATCACGATTTCGCACCGAGAGTCACGTGACACCGTGACGTAAGCAATTTTCATAACCCCTAGTCGAGTGCTCGGGTTCATGACAATCAGCACCGCCAAACATTCGGGTAACGGCTCATGTCAATTACACATGATAATAGCCCAACTCTAAGAATATCTGAAGCTCACCCCAAGCTTTTGCTTTCCAAACCCTAGCCGCCTAGAACAGAACTGTGATGAACACTGGCGGTATCAGATCACGTGGCCGCTTGTTTATATTGCGAGTTGAGGAGATATCGACAACTGTCTCTTTCCTTTATTTTTTCTGCATCTGCTATTAGGGGAAAACTAATGGATGTTTCCGCAAGCTTTCAACGTTAGGGGTTATTTCCTAACACTATTTCTTGAAAGTAGAAGAAAAAATGTTGCAAGACCCATTTTACATTATTGAGGCACCCAAATATTTTTTTCGTTGTTGCTGAACTGCATCCGAAAGATGTCCCTGAGAATAGAAGTACTGAAATTACCAAATGCGACTTATCAATATGACGTTACATAGAACTACACGTGTGTGCGGAAGGAATACTAAAAAAAAGATATTTTAGTGACCTCAGAGAGACAGCCGAACGTTGGCAGTCGCCAACGTTCGGCTGTTTATTTGCAAATAAAAATATTACCCTTGATGGCGTGCCAGGCTTGGCAGAAAGGTTCAATTTCAAGATGTAATAAGATAAGTCTGGCGGTTGCTGGTAGAAGTATTCAAACACTTACAAAAAAAATCGAAATTGTAGGACATGACTAGTAATTTGATTACTTGTATAGTGTGTACCGTACAAGTTTGTTCGCGTCCCTCCGCTGTGCCGGTTGGGGGGAAGTATCTGGAGTTCTTGGTCAGCGGCTCCACTGACAGACGAGAAGGGCAGAGGGGTCGACAGAAGCTCCGGACACGCGGCTGCTGCATCAGACAGATCTCTGAACATTCTTTCCTGTTTATCGGTGTATGAAAACTGGGACATTTCACTGTCTAAATATTGAACCTAATGAACAGGGAAAGGTACATCGCGTTCTACATTTCAAATAATGATATGTTCTCTAACGAAGCCCACAAACCCCAGAAGTCTGTCTACCCATGCGTCCGTCGGTGCCTTTACACGCTATATTTAGCGAGGAAATAGACGTCACGTGACGTCATGGTTCCAGGTGACACCATGACCTGACTCCATGAGCTCACGTGTATTTCCTCGCTAAATTTGGCTGGAAAATCGACGTCACTCCTCGATAAAAACTGTACAATACTTTTTATACAAATTTTGATTATCGCTACTTGAAGACTGCTTTCCACGTATACTACACTAAATAGAATGGTCGCTGGCAAACTTTTTCTTCTTTTTTTTTAGCGTGTAGTTGTAAACAAGATGTTACCGTTTGTGAATCACGAATCAAAATTCAACATTTATTCAACAACTCAAATGAATTGGGGAGTCTCTTTACTTTCTCTCGCCCGTCCCTTGGCCGAACAATCTACGTCACCAACCGGAAGCCAATGCTGGGCACTGATTGAACACGAGTGCTGCATCAGCGTTTGGCTAAAACTCGTATCCAATCAGTGCCCGGCACTGGCCTTCTAGAGGTGACGTAGAAAGTCCCGTACCACGGCCTTGCTGGCTATGGGTTGGTTAACACACTCGCGATTACTCACGACCGTGTGCCTCAAAACCTCTTAAAATCCCTTACTACGAGAAAACACACTGGCATTATCTATTAGGTAGCCCTGGAACGCTTGCAGTTTTCTTATAATTGTCTTTCACGGATCTCAATTTTTTTACTCGAAAAACTTTTGACAATATTTTAAACGACTATTTCTTATAGTAGACAGTGTGTTCGTTTGATCTCAGAAATACCACAAAACATTCACTCTGGTAAAATGAAGTTCCAGGGTCACCTCGTAAATGACGCCATTCTGCCATTCTATTTTCTCGCCGTAAGAGATCACGAGAACTCCGGGGGGGGGGGGGGGGGGGGGGGCGACGGGGGCGGCAACTCCCCCCAAACAAAATCGACTCCCTCTCCCTCCCCCCTTTCGGAGGGCAGTTTGACATGAGGGGACCCCGCGGTGACATGAAAGAATGGGAGAATCCCCCCCCCCCCAAACGGAGTTCTGGATCCGCCCGGGTCGTGAGCTAAGGCAAACTGGTAAACGGGCCTTAAGAAGTGATGGTTGGGGGTCCTCCTAATGTGGTACCATGTCCCATGGTCGCGGAAGTCTTTGAAGCCTGATGGTGAAGCGGGCTTTTACAGCACGTTCACATCAGTGTTCGAAGGTAAACATCTTCGACAGACGTCTGTCTGGTTGGGAAGTGATAATGGAAAACTATTTGACTCCAAAAAAGACGAGGCTGCTCCCACGCACGAGATCAATCGCCCCTGAAGAAGAAACCGAACTGGTTTTGAAACGTTGGGTTCGAGTTTAACATCAGTGTTCATACCACTGTCGGTGGTATACTCCAAAACTAGTCATGAAGTCCCTATGCTCTCAACTTTGTCGCTTCTCAGTCAAGAATATTGTACAAAAAATAACCGCGAGCCAGGCCATTCCGCAAGCTCCCTACTTTGGCGAAAAGCCAATGGTAAACGCCATACAGTCCTAAACGAAGAATACTACGTGCTTTTTCAACCCTAGAGAGGGTACACTTTCAGTCTGCTTTTGAATGATTTATCAATCTTCCATAAAGGCGGAAGCAACACGTCGGCGCATTTTACCTCAACAAAGTTCTGACACAAAGATGATTGCGACACTCGACGAAATTATCTCGCTGCAATATTTTCCACCTCGTACATCTCCCGAAAGAACTTCTGTAATGGGATACCGCCACCGTGGTTGGACAATCTTGGCGACGCTGCTTGTCAGAGGCCAAAAGCCAGATAAGCGTAGAGCTCCGGCGACAATTCACCCAGAAGACGCGTGCGACGAGGAAGGACGAAGCCATGCAAGCAGGTTGGTCTGCCAAAGTTTCTTTTTCTCAACGATTCTACCGAAAACAAAAAGCGGAGGTGTCGCGATTAACTCAAAAAGTACTAAACCGCATGATTTTCATGAAACGTATTTGCTAATGCCTTGGGCTGTGAGGAAAAAAAACTCTTTGGTTTCCTCTATTTCTCATCAGTATTTGAAGAAAACAGTGGCGGGCTAGGCCTTCGAAGTTGTTATTCGTTTAACGTATTTACTCTCGCAGGGAGATTTTCATCACTTGAATGAACGTTGTAAGACAAGTAGCATCAAAGAAATATATTTTGCAGACTGCGGAAAAGTCTTTTCTCACGTTATATGCGGCTTCTTTGGTAATAGAATTTCTCTACCAGCTCTGGCTAGTCCTTAATTAGGTTCGATGTTCCATGAAGGGCCTTATTTCTTACTACTTTCCTAGAAACAAAAAGAGAAGCCAACCATGGTTTCGGACGCCACCTTGCTGTCAAGAATTACGCAACAAATACACCCGGTTTATTACTCTACAAAAACAATTGATAGAAGGACGGTGTTTTTCTAGATTCTGCGAAGGCGTTTGAGGGCCTGCGAAGGCCTCGCGGAAAGCTTTTTCTTAAGCCGAGAAGATTATTAAACAATAGTAACATTTTTGTGAGTGATAGAAACGTATTTAGATGTAAGGCAACAGTTGAAATACAGAATGTCCGTTCCCAACATCAAGAGTTGCAGGGGGGGGGGGGGGGGGGAGGGGGGGGGGGGGAGTTCGACGAAGATTGGCGTTTGAATGAGTGTTTATTTTTTTGTCGTTTTAAGAATGACATGGGTGGCGGATGCTTTTGGTTTGTTAGCCGATGATTGTGTTTTAACGTATCTGTAAGCATGTGCAATGTTCAGGTATTCGAATCAAGAACATTCACATTGTTTCTGCGAGGTGTGACGATTGGGTCTTGTAATTTGGATAATTGTGCACACACTATGCATGGCTGGGAGAAAAAGCCTCCTTGCCCTTTAAGGTGCCCTAAGGAGATTTCTGAAATTGCCTAAATATTGCGATAACTCACTCTGCGGGCTCTAAGCATCCTAGAAACCCATAAATCATAACGATAGGCGACCGATTTCTTTATTAACAAGCAATCAAACATCGGACACACCGAGGTCATCTCCGGCATTTGAAGGAACGTTTTTCCGGCAGCCAGGACGACATGTTACCTATAAAAACGCGACATTTCGTTGAGATTCCAAATACTGTTATTACAAAATGTGTATGCTTTTGTAGAAGATAAAAGAAAATAAGAATAGTCAAATGTAATTTTTTTCGTTGAGAGGGAACATAATACTGAAATAATCGTCTCAAACACAGCGCTCTATGTTGTTTTCGTATTCCGCCGGGGTGATATGTTTAGTCGTCAGCTTTCGAGCCCGCGCTCGCTGGGTTTAATCGTAGTCCGGGCTGTATGGGCAACGAGCCACGCGCATTCGAGATATCACTCCGCGCTTTCAGCGGTGACAGTGGTCCTGGTTTCGGAACATGCTCTTTCCATCGCCGGAGATGAGCTCAGTCTGTTGCAATCTTTGATTGCTTTCTTAATAAGGTAATCGGCGCCGTATCGTCATGATTTAAGAATTTCTAGGATGCTGAGAGCCAGCAGAGTGAGTTATCGCCATATACAGGTTATCTCAGAAACCTCCTCAGCGCACCTTTAAAACAATTTTCTAACTTTTACCTGTTTAGCTTTCCTCCTCCTCAGAAATCGCGCACTGTACAAAACAATTCAAGAAGACGGAAAGGAGGGAGTCCCCTCTTGCTTGGATGCTCGTTTGTGTACCCGGACACAGCCATTCTTCCCCTAGAAGATTAGCCCGTCGCTCAAAATTCAGACAAAAGTTGCCTTCCCCAACCCGTTCACCACGAAGCTGACAGTGCTGTGGAAGCTACGTGCTCGTTGGGCCAGCCACCCTTTTGTCACGTGATCACGCTCTCTCACGCATACCCACGCGCAGAGAATGAGGTCAGGCGATAAAACGAAGGCCGCTGATTGGTCCGGAAAGCGCGGAGCTTCCACTGCAATGCTGCAGCTTAGGGGTGAAGGGAAAGTGAGGTCCGGTGTCGTGTGACGTGCGTTTGGACACGCTGACGCGCTTTGGGGACCGCGGATGTACCACAGTGAAAAGGCAGAGAGCTTACGAAGGGAAGGAGGTACAAATAGTCCAATGTGTTTTTAAATTTTCGTACCGAAAGTCAGGCGTTTGACTTTCTACCTCTTTTTTTTGGCCCACTGAACGATGAGCTGTTAGTAAAATCCCAATCTAAATTGATTTATCCCAGCCTAAAATTCGTTTCATGAACCCTTTTAAAAAATCCTGCTAAACACACCCTCTCAATACAAATACGTGGGACTAATGTTAACATGCAATTTACTTTTCAATTCACAGATTCACTTTATTTCACGTAAGGCAATGGATTAAAAATGAAACTTAAAATAGCGACGTAAACACTCATCGAGGAGTACAAAACTGTTTGCATATAAGTTTTTTTTTTCACTATGCGCAAACCAAATATAATAAGTTTTGAAAATTCAGGAAGATCACCACGATTTAGTGTTAATAAATACGGTAAAAGCGCGTCCATCTCAATGCTTTGTGATCAATAGACGTTGAAGCCGCTTCTCCCCTTTGAAAAAAACGCCGAAAGATCATTTTATAGAAATTTATTTTTCTCCAGTTGAATGATGACCCAAGTCGTAAATTACTCCGACGCGGGTGTCAGATCCGCGCGCGATGGGCACACAGTAGCGAGAGAACACGTGGTGTCTAAAGGACTCTTGATTAGACCTTGCGGAGCAAGGACTTCAGTGCAGGACTTCGTAGGGTGAGATGAAACATATAGCGTAGACCGAATAAATTTCACCCACAGTAAATAAATCGTAAAAATGAGCTTGCTACCACAATATAAGTTACCATGAAATCGATGCTAGGTGACGGGTTTGCTTTGCGACAGTACCGACAGAAACACCTTCCTCGATTAAGAGTTTCAAATAAAAACCAGAATGTTTCAATGGATTAATGCAGACATAAGCTTTTCCTTAGGAAAAATGAAACCATCCAAAAGAGCCCTTTGTAGAAGAAATGATTCTTCTACAAAGGGCTCTTCGTCCCAGTCGCGCTGTTTTTCAACATGAAACCATCCCATTGGGCTAATGGGGAATTTATAGGACAAAACAAAAACTGAGAGCAAAGTGACTAGGATTGTCTGCGACCTGATTCTTGGTTTCGTTAAATCAAACGTCCCAAACACACGCACGGACATTTTTCACTTTAGAACGAAAGAGACTTAACTTGTTCCTGGGGACATATAGTTTTTTATTGGTAACATTTTTCTGGCGTACCCTTATAAAGGCATAGTGAAGACCCAAAACTTGTAATATTCTTGCATCTTAAAACAAAAGACAAAAAAAAAAAACCTTCGCGGTAAAATGGGGTACTCTGTATAAGAATAGCCTTATACTTTTAGGGTTGAATGCAGTAATATCCTGCACTGGTTGGGATATTAAAATGACTTTGTTTCTGTAAATTACAAAACCAAAAGTCTCAATGCGAGGATGGTACACTAGTCATGACTTTCGTTTCAAGGACACAGTCATTAATTTCGTTTAGAAGTAGCTTAATACTGTAAACAAACAAACACAATCCACAATTCAAGACATGCAGCAACAGAAACCTAAATTTTCACTGTTATGCGAGAAAGAGGTCCCATCAAAAGTACTTAAAAGACGTTTCAAAAAGAAGCGTGGAGTAGCCATATTTTCAAAATAACACAAGAGGCATTGGAGAAAATAAAGTGTAATTCCAGCGTCTGCTTAACTGCTGAACTTACCACAAGGCTAAAAAAAAAATCAAATAGACATTATGAACTCGAAAACAGTTTAATACAAGGCACAGAAAAAAAAATCAGAGATTTTGTTTTATGAAATTACCTTTCACAAACCGAGTTGTATAGTACCGCGTTAACATAAGCAGGGGCCGAGAAAAGGTAAGAAAAATTTTAGTTAATGTCGGTCGTGTCTGTCAGCTAAAAGAGCAGTACAAAGTGTGCTATGCGTATAGTGGCACAAGCTTCAAGAAAATTTGTTTTGTTCTTGAAGCTGGAGACGGCAATTGAACATATTAGAAAAATAATAAATCAGAAATAATTTTTTATAATAATTTGAGTTAGGCGTCTACACAACGACATTTATCCGAAAGAAAGCAGTGTTTTTTCATATTTATTGAAAAAACAAAACAAAAAAAAAACACGTAATTAAAAGTAAATATGTGTTCGATGTTAAAGACTAAGATTTCCGAGAAATCATTTACGCATAATAGGTTTTCACTAACGCAGACCGATAATTTAGATATGTCTACAATCTTCCAAATAAACTAAAAAAAGCGCTTCAAATTGCTTTCATTCGGATGCAACTAACTTCGAAATATATTGTGTCAATATAGAAATTTATTTTGCATGTTTGTTACTGCTGAATCGTCAGGATATTTATGCCGGCTATGCAATCTCTTTTCCCGCAACTTTAGATTCAGGCTTCAGCGAACATATCTACCAACATGATAATTACCGAACGTAGTGTGGGATACTGTGATATGCTGTTTTTAAAAAGCGTGCGCAAATGTTTGTTAGCTCAAATATAATTTTTGAGCGAAACTCTCTGATTTCTTGGAGGAGACATATATAACATACTGATTCTTAGAGAAGACATAAATAGCTTGGCATTTTGTTGAAAAATAATTTGACATATTTACCGAAATAAGAGTTAACTTGCGGGCGTGCTGCGGATGGTTGTGTATTGGTCAATTGTTTTCTGACCATTTATGCAAATATCTGAGTTTATAAATATAAATTATGGCTCTGCCCTACTGGTGAGATGAAATAGCTCTTAACAACTTTTGAAACCTCAAACGGATTAAAAATAGGTTGAATAACTTTAATTGAAAAGTATTCCTGCAAAAACGTAAATAACAAA